GCAGATAAGGAGAGAGGTCAAGACCCTGCGGCTTTTTCAGAAAAAGATAATCAAGGAAGGCTTCTCTGAGGAGGTGGCATAGGAGCAGCAACTAAAAACAGAAAAGGTGTGAGCCATTCTGGGAGAGAAGTGTCCCAGGTAGAGGGAAGCAAGTGCAAAGTCCCTGAGCTCGTGCTTAGCATTCATTGTTCAAGGACCTGGAGAGCAGCGGGAAGGGGGAGAGGTGGGAGAGGAGGTCAGAGAGGGCATCGAGTACAAGATCTAACAAGACCTCTGTGGCTGGAGAAATGGGAGCCCACTGGAGGGCCTGGAGCACCGTGACAAGCAAGGACTCATGACAAACTCCAAGAGCTGCCACCTGCTAAGGCCACAGCAGCTCACAGCCCTGGAGGGCAAAGCAAGCCCATCTCATCAGCCCTGGACTCCCCCGCCCCCGCCAACCAGTTCAGCCCATGAAAGGCCCAACCCTGACCTTCCCCCTCCCCCAGAGCCAGAGCCCAAATCTCTTCCACCCGCCAGCCCCCACTTCCAGCTCCCACTTCCGTGCAGACCCCCAGGCCTCTCCTTCCTGCCCCAACTCGCCCTGCCCCCACCTACCTCCCCCCTCCCCAGTCTTCTGGCACAATCCAAGTGGGCAAGTGTCTTTGTTTGCAGCTGGTGCCATTGTGGGCTTCCCGGCTAATGTGCTTTCTTCCTCTCTCCTCCTTCTTCCTGTCCCCCCCTCCTTAAATAAGACGGCCACCCCCTCCCCAGCACTGCCCTGCCAGGCCAGGGCCCAGACTGGCTTAGCAAGTCAAAGAGCAGACTCACTGTCTGGCACGGCCACGAACATGACCACGCTGGTGGGTGACACTCCCCTCCCTAGTAGGCCACACTGAAGCCAGGCAGGGAGAAGGGGCGGTGACACCTGAGAAGTAATCACTCACTAGAAACCTAAGAATCCGGGTCAAGTCCCCAATCTTGATTTCTAAAGATCTAAAATCACTGGTAAAGGTGTGAGCCACAGCACTGACAGTGTTTTTACTAGAAGTCACAGCCCCCACCAGAAAACAAGTGCGGGGGACTAGTTCCTGTCCCCCTGAGGGTAGGGGACAGAGCAGGACCCAGACTGGGACCAGCAGCTGACCGAGCTCTCCTGGGACTCCCCGGGCCACAGCCAGTACTTTCTCCAGAACAAGGAGGCTTCACTAGACACCACAGCCAGCTAGTCAGCACGGCTCAGCCCAAAATGGCATGGGCTGGCATTACGGGCTGGCATTTCCCAATGACTGCAGATAATATCGACCTTAATTGAACGGGGTCCAGATAATGTCATTACGCACTGCGTTCCCCAATTTATTTAATATACGTGTGTACACATATCTTTATGCCTCACTGCTGCCGCGAGATTGCTAAACGGTGAGGTTAATAATAAAACATTTCGACGGGAGTCATCAGCTTTAATTTAAGGGGTGATTTTTACTATCCTTGTGGTGCTCGTTTTTCCAAGGAGCCAAGAGAAACAACGGACAGGCTGGAAGAGGCCCTCTCAGGCCCGCGGGCTAGGAGGCGGGCTGGGCAGGGCTGTGGGGTAGTCTTGTCTTTTCCAAGCAAGTTCTAGCTAGCGTTGGTGGTATAGTGGTGAGCATAGCTGCCTTCCAAGCAAGTTCTGCTGATACGCCTCCTTCTCAGGAGCAGGCTTGGGCAGGGAAAGAGAGGTGGAGGGAGCGGAGGCCGAAGCCCCCCACCCCCAGCTTGACTCCAGGACTGGTGGGGAGAAGGAAGCTTGCCTGGCATGCAGAGCTGCGGCCCTGGAGTTGGGCTGGGAGGCAGCAGGGGGACACTGGGAGAGAGGCAGGGCGAGAGGACAGAGGGAGGCCAGAAGACGGTAGACAGCCAGGAAAGGAACGAGTTCCCAGGACCCGGGAAAAGGTGGCCTGCCCTGCTGCAAGGGCCAAAGGCAGTGAAATTTCTCAATTAATTTCTGATAGTCCCCTGCTAACTATGGCAGAGTTGACATGAAAACAAGCCCTCCTTGCTCTTTCCAGGAGCAGACACCAGGCTGGGTGGGAGCCACACAAAGCTAGCGTCCTTGGCTCCAGGCCGGGCGGCCCCCCCGTGGGAAGCCCCTGGGTCTCCTCCCTCAGGTCGGCCCAGCCAGCCGGCAGCTCTCTGGCAGCCCCCATGAGCAGGGCCCGAGTCCTGATGCAGCCCCCAGCCCCACCGGCCCCCCAACCCCACACCTTCTCCGGGCTGCAAAAGGCAGCTTCCACTCTGCAGAAGTAAGATAACCTTCTGTCCCGCAGCCGGCGGGGCCCAGCTGCCCAGGCTGCCAGTGGGGCCTGCCCACTGCCAAGTTGGGTTCTCGGCCAAGCAGAGGAGGACAGCAGGGTGGACAGATGTCTTGGGGTGGGTGGTAATTAGGGGCTGCCGGCTCCGCACTTGTCTAGGGAAGAGGATGTGTCTGTTGGCTGTAATTATCAAGCGCAGAAACCCGCGGGTACCAGCCCCCCATCTTTTCCTGCCAGCAATGCCCCCCGCAGCAGGGTGGGTTTGGGTGGGGCCAAGCATCCTGGAAGCTGGGCCGGGGGCCCCTCAGAGCGTTCCTGGCCTGGGCCCACCCCCCAACGCTTCCCGCTAGCACGCTGCTCACTCTTGCTCACTCCCTCACTGGTGCCCTCACCTACCTCAGGCGGCCTGTCTGCCGCTCCTCCCGGGGACGTCACGCCTCCAACAGAATGAAGCCGCCCAGACGCAGGGTGGGGGAGGGGGGATGAGGGAGGAAGACAGCGGCCTACGCTAGGCCACTGAGGCCGAGAAAGCAGCTCAACTCCTGACGTGCTCCCGCCTCCCCTCCTCCCCCTCTGCCTGCTCAGGACCCCTTCTCTGTGCCTGCTGCCTGCCCCCCTCCATCCCATGCATCTCTCTCCTGAGACCCCCTGCCAGCAGAGCATTCTTTGGGGTTCAGCATTGCCATCTCCCTCTCTGGGCCTCTCTTAAATGCAGATGTCCCAGGGAGGGGTAGCCCTTGCAGTAACCAGGACCTCAGGGGGATCTAACTTTTTGGTATTTTCGTCTCTGAGAGATTAAAGGTGGTGACAGGTGGGGGAAAGTTTATGGCTAATAGACAGAAGTTGGAGGAAGGTGAAGACAGAGGTCACCTAATTCATAAGTGGGCAGGCATGCCCATCCAAGGCTAAGCAAAGGCTCAGGGGCACCAACCCCAAAGGCCCCCCACCCCATGCCAAGAACAGGACTCTGACTAACGCCTAAAGAGGCCCACCAAGTGGTCCCCTGCAGGGACCAGGGGAAGGGACAAGGGCTCTGACCCCCACTCTCCACTGTAGACACGTTCTCTTCAGGGGCCCTCACTACTGGCCCCCAGAGCCTGCCCAAGAGAGGTGACCACACCTGGAGCCTCCAAACACCTCTGTGGGAATTCTGTCTGCCACCTCAGGAGAGGTCACCAGGAAAGGCTCCCTGCCATTCCTCACCTCTTGGTTGAAGTTCTCCCACCACCCAGGCACTGGCCTGGAAGGAGCTCATGCAGACCCAGAGCCTGAGGCCCCGCATCCCCTGTGGATCTCAGGGAGGAATGTGGGGCAGACCCAGCGCTCACCCTGGGGGAGTGGGAAGATGGGAATTAGAACATTCTTAATTTCCACCATGAGCTGGCCCCAGGGATGTGAGGCTGAGCAGCAGGCTGTGGGAAGGGGATGCCCAGTATGAGGACTTGGAGCACCGGCCGCCTTGCCTGCCCTGGGCCCCCACTCTCACCCCAGAATGGAGAACTATGATGGGAACACACACACATACACACATACACAGGACTCCCTCCCCCGTCACCGAGAGCTTTCCGACAGACGACAGAGGGTCAGACACACTAACCACCGCTCCAACAAACACGTGGATTCCGGCACCCCACTCGGCAAGCCCAGCTCAGTCCCGCAAAGCAGCTCTCCCCGCACCCAGGGGCAGGCATGGTGACAAGAGGGGTAAGGAAACAAGGAGCCTCCTCCAAAAAGGACCTTAAGTCTGAAGGAGGGGGTGTCACTCGTGGCCCGGGGGCAGGGGGCGCTCGTACGTTGGGCCTCAGGACTCCCGCCGCTGCTACCGCCGCCCCATTTCAGCACAAACAGCCTCAGACCGCCCCGGTGCGGGGGCGCCGCTCTCGGTCCGGGCCTCCACCTCGCAGCCCCGCCCCCGCGCGGGGAGGGGGCGCTGCCAGTTCCTGGGCGCCGGGGAAGCCCGACCTCGGAGGGGACCCCCCAACACACACACACACACACACACACACACACACACACACACGGCCTGGCCACCCTCCCGGCGGCCCCGGTAGAGGCTCGGGTTCACCAGGGTCCCGGAGAGGGTCGGTGCCGAGTATCCGTGGAGCACCTGACCCTGATGTCCCGGGGCCGCGGGGAGACCCCAGACCCTAGAGCGCCGTCCCAAGCCGCCGCGGCCCCGAGCGAGCGGCTGCCGGGCTCGGCCGGTGGCGAAGGTGGCGCTGGGGCGGCCGGGGGAGCGGGACGCGGTGCAAGGGAAAGGAGCCGAGCGCGCGAGGCTGGCGCTGCCAGCCCTGCCGCCGGGAGCCGGCGGGGAAGGGGTGCAAATAACGCCCCGCGCCCCCGCCTGCCCTGCCCCTCCGCAGAGGGGGCGCGCTAACGCCGCCGCCCCCACCTGAGAGCTGGCCCGACCCCCATCCGGCAGAACCCGAAATACCCCCCCTACACAGAGACACTTTCCCCCAGGCCCGCAAAAAAAAAAGCGGCTGCCCCATTGCCTCCCTCGGGGGCATTCGGAGAGCCTGCCCCAGCCCCGAAGGGAGACCCTCCAGCCTCGGTCCCGCGCCCTCCAGCCCCGAGAGCTCGGGTCCGCCGGCCCTCCTCCGGGCAGCCCTGAGCGCGGGAGCTCGCCAAAGGCCACCTCCCCGAGCCCCGATGTCCCCGCCGCAGTCCGCGCCCCAGAGGCCGGAGGGCACGGTCCCCTCCGCCGGTTCCCCACGGGCCACAACTCACCGCGCGCCGGCGAGGTCTGAGCCGCGGCGAGGGGTCGGTTCCGCTCCCGCCTGCCCCGGGGGCGCAG